CAATCGGGTGAAGTAGTTGTGTTTTTTATTTCATGAGGGGATAGATAACTCGTTAGGAAATCCATACGACTTTACGAAATTGAATTCAGGCGAGTAGAACTCTCGGAATCGATCTTAGCGTAAAGAGTATTTTCTGAGCGTCGTGGGTTAGAGGTGTGTTGTGAAATGAGGATTTTGGAATTCTTTAATTAGCTCACTGTCTCGCGTAACCCGCTTTGGCGCTGGATTTTGCCGCTCTGGCAGGCAACTACAGCGGGGTGACGGCCGCTGTGGCGGGCTTGACGCAACTTAAGGTCGTTAATAAACCCCTAAATGACCTTATTTGACACTTTTTGATTTTTAGAGCTAAGGAACGAACCCCAAGCGACTCCAACTCATTTTTCACCATTCTTGAGGCTAAAGGTAAGCTTTTCACTCCCCGAATTCCGTTTTTCGATCCGTAGAACGTAATAGAATGGGTGAATATTGATGGGTAAGGGTTTGATTATAGATTCTATGGTGGAAACAACCCTAAATTGGATAATTGGGATCATGGGTATGATCTAGAGTTCATAGAATTGTTATAGATTCGGGTAATTAGTGATTGTTTATTGATTCCCGTATTAAATTGATTGTTTGTAGATCAAGAACAAGCGGAACGAATCCGAAAGGGAAGGATCAAGTTTTTTAGGGTTTCAAGCTTGTTTCGAGGTAGGTGATGGTTGTGATTCTATGATTATGTGATGTATGTTTGTTCTTGCTTCATTATGATACTTGTATGTATATGAATGTTGCATTATTGATCACACTTGTTATAAATGCATTAGAGGAATGATGAATGTCATGAATCATGACCTAAATGTATGGTCTTGAAGATATACTTGTGATTGTGATTGTGGTGTGTGAATGGGATCGGTTGTCACGTTCCGGCATAACTAACTTGGATCGGTTGCCACGTTCCAGCATAAATATGGCATCGGTTGTCACGTTCCGATATAACATTCGGATCGGGCACCACGTTTCGATATGCTAACTGTTTGGGTTTGGGTTC